TTCGGCCAGAATCTTTCCCGGAAGGAATGTCTGCGTACTCACGAGCAATCTCATAGACAGGTTACCGGCCCGCACACAGAGCCCCCCTTGTATGCGATACAAGAATTTTCTTCGCGCGCTGACTATGATTCAGCGCTTCGAGGGCGCGTCATGTGCTCCTCGTTTAGCTCAGGGCCACCTCAGTAGGGACCAAGGCAACCTTTTCTACCGTGCCTCCCTTTGTGGTTTCACAGTGGAAAATTCTTCTAGGGGAGAGCTTTGAAAAGCCTCGTAATCGAAGACGCGTCGCGAGGTAGACTCTTGAATTCAATGCAATGGCGCCTTTGCGGACTCCCGTCCACGTACACGACAGCGTGGACGCATTCCAACGCTGTAATTTTGATGCTTGTATCCCCATATTGCTTCGAGTTCATGCTCGAAGCTGGAGATCCGCAGCTAGGTGCCAATCCATTACCTCCCTTTAGACATTGGATGTCCTCATTTAGGATGTCGAAAGTGCGTGACGGGAGTAACTCATACTATTCCGTCGACGCGTGTAGCAGGAGCCTCTGATCGACCGCTGCAACCCTGTGTTAAAGCCCCTGCTCTACGACAAATTTGCCATGTGGGAACCCCGGTTCAACTACAGTGATTAATGATAGGAACCCCTGTTTGACCATCATGCTCTGACGGGGGACTCCTGTTCGTCCACGTCGCACTGGGTGACGAGCTCTAACTCGCTCTCATCTTAATTTGTGTGGGAGCCTTTGCTAAGCCACAAAAGATGCAGGTGGGAACGCCGGTTCGACCACTGCTCTCTCGTGCAGGAACCCTTTTTCGACCGCGTCTCCCTCATGCATAAGCCACTGCTCGTCCGCGTTGTCCTTGCACCGGAGCCACTGCCCGTTTGCGTCATCCTTGAACGAAAGGCACTGCTCATCTGCGTTATTTGCTCGCTGCAAAGCGAGGAGACATCGTAACCTGCGTGTATAATAACGGCACAAGCGGTGCACAGAGAGCCATCGATTGCTCTGTGCACCGCCTGGGTCGTGGAATCACGATCCACGACCACGACGTTTGCCCAATCACTTGAGGGTACCAAGAGATGATTCATCACTTTGCTGACGTCGAACGTGCGTCAACATCTTACTGCTCTTGCTAACCAATCAATCTGGGACTTGCAACGTGCCAACTATGGCACGCCCAGGATGCAATCGAATGCATAATTTATCTCAATCACCATAAAATTATCGTTGCTGCGAAAGACGTCGAACGTATACGGGAGCGACACTTTTCGCCGCGATACGCGGCGTAACTTACCTTCCGCTAGCTTGACGACAACTTGGCCAGGCCCCTCGTGGACCTGAATGCTCGGTGGCAGCAACGACACCAAGTTTCACGGAAGAAATTGTTTGTCGCTCCTGAATTTAGGATCGCTCGTAGTTGTCGTCATACACCGGCGACATGCACACTGACAATAATCAGGCACGATTATCTACTCTTAGTGGTGGCATTTGACCGTGCAAGCACCACAAATAGTCCGGGAGGTCAGCCCGCCACCAATATACCTGGTCCTACCTCCAAACCAGAAGGGCGCCTTGCATCTACTGGTCTCGTCCGTTTTTTGGACGTGTGTGCGGAACACCTCTCTCATGATAGGCGTCCATCGCATGCACAGACATTGGTGCTAGCGCACGGCCTTCAGCCGCGCGATGTTTTGGCTTTCGACATCGAAAGCCGATCATCTGACGTCCGCTATGGACGTCGCCCTCGTAGTACACAACGCGTCGTCGGTCACCCGACGACTTAATTGCATCAATCCCCGTGGGTTCCGGACCCGCTTATCTGACAGCGGTTACAACCGAAGGCTTGGTGCAGGATGAGGTGACTATAAAGTCCTCACGGAGGGCGATAGCGAAAGCCTCCTCTAACGTGGCAGGCTCCGCGCGATCCAGCGACAAGCGAGTAGGCCCCTCGCGCAACCTCCAACAAAGACGTTTAGCTGTGTCTACATGTCCATAATAGTTGTGTTAATGTACGACGCCAGATGCCGAGCCATCTTCACGTAGTCGCGCATGGCCGTCTTGCCCTGTCTTAAGGATAGGCGTCTTGATAGCACCAGCCTTACTTCTTGTGAAGGCTCGAAGTCGAGTCAAAGATTACGCTGGATAGATTCCAGAGTGGGAACGCATACTCGATCACAAAGATTTGACCCAACGCCTACTCCTTGTCTTTCCCGGTACGACGGAAAAAAAGAAAGTTGGCCTTCGCTTGAGTAGCCTTGAGAAGTCTTGAGGCGATAGATATGTCAACCTCTCGGAACCAACGCGACAGCGACAAGAATTCTTTGCCTTCGCCAGAGTAGACGGATATCTCCATCTTCACGGCATCGTTCCGTGAATTTCGCGAAAAAGTTAAACCTCGACGGTTAAAAGTCGGGAAGATCGAAAGCCATGAAGTGGTGTATGATGAGCTGTTTTTCATCAGGAGTCGCTGAGCTCATCAGTGACACAACGAATGGTTATCCAAATATCGCCGCGACGCGATTTGAAGCAACTCACTCAACAACAGTGAGATGGGGAAAAGTCGAATGCCTTAGACTCACGTCTGGAGTGTCAAATAACGACGAATCGATTATCTCACACTCGGGCATGAGAAGGACATCTCGGTGCTACTACTTGTAACGGGGCTAGAATAACACGTACTTATTTACTAAATCGATGCTTAGGAAGCCTAGACCCAAGTTTTAGGTATTAAGGATTTTCAACTCTCTTCACATTTTTGTCTTTTGAATCATTCTAAGGACGAATGGTTCCTTTGGACTCATGGGAACCACTCAATCTACGTGCCTATATCTTAATGGCTGATAATGGGACCAAGCCCATTAAACCAGCTAAATATGTGACGTGAACCTTCCGCTTCTTCGGAAGTAGACCCCCTACTTAAGTAACATGCAAACTGAATCAAAACTACTTATGAAAAATGGGTGGACCATTAATGAGCTACTTCCGGTGTCAGCATCCAAGATGACACTACTCAATAGGCCATGGAATGCAATTTCCTGGCTCATGCTCCTCATGTGAAGTCTTCTTGAATGCCACTATCCAAGGAGTTGTATCGAGTGGCCAAAATGACCACCAAACGAATCCCATCGTTCGACTGTAGTAGGATCTCTCCTCCTAATCCCAGCACGGAAACTGTCCGTGCTGAGGAAGAGTTTTTCACCGATGCGTTATTTAAACATCGGTGGTACAATGGTAGCCGTGGTCAAGACTGAAAGGCCCTGGTGCAAGGACGGAATGCCCTCATCCACAACATTGAGTGCATTGGCCATGAGGCCTGGCTCGATAAACTTAATGCAGCTCGCACCAGGTTTAAGAAACGGAACCCAGTCAGGATATGATACAAGTTGCACCGACTATTAAGAGGGGCAGAATTTGCTTGTCTCTCGTGGGGTGATCCGTGTCCAGGTTGCCCGGACAACTTTGACCGTGCCCCTAGGTGCGCCTACCTCCCTAAAGTTCCCAACTGGAAGGCGAATCTAATTAGATAGACGAAGTGATTAACAATTTGCAATCCCTGCACTCGCGTTCGGGGAGGTCGTTTTCCGACGGCCATTTTTCGAACACAGCGAATGGGTCACGTCATACTGCTCAAAAAGACCCAGGATATCAATAATCAGCTGGGCACGAGGCTCCTAGCTGTCCCACGCCGGAAGATAGCCACGCCAGCGGACGAGGTAATTCGTCCGGACGCCATTTAAGTCACGGTGTCTCAAAACACGCTTCACTAGAAAGCGTAGACCACCGTCTGAGTACACCAAAGGATGTGGTGGCGGCGGGAACACCTGATCCGGCTCGAGGGTCGAATCAGCTTGATGCAAGAGCTGATCAGTGTAGCAGAAAAGTTCCAAGATGACATGGCTCACGAACGGACTCGGCGTTATGATCGTGAGGATCTTGTAAAGGATAATTACAATTCCTTAGCGCACACTCGTATGAACGATCGTGCAGCGTTTGCGTTTGCGCAACTTGAGAACGAACGTTCGACTCGTTCTCTTCGTGCCGAGCTGGCTGCAGCTAGTTAATACATCGCTTAACTGCGTGAGCAGGTCGCTTCGCTAGTCGACCAGACTGGTTAGTTGAAACTGGACCACTCGAAGGTGGTCTCGGCTCTTGACCGCGGAGGTGTTCTCCGCATCTCGAACAGGCTCGTACTGATAGTACAAGCGGAGACGACCGACGTAAAACGTAGGATGCGTACGCGTCGTACGGGGCAGTTCAATCGTGTCTGCGTTGCCCATTTGGCGAAACACAAGAAATGGACCGATGTACTTGAGCAGTAATTTACTGCTACCCACGTTTGTTACTGCGTGTTTCGGTAGGTTTACTGTAGGCAGTACAACTAAATCTTCTTCATCAAATAAAAGAAGATTTGATCTTCCATGTTTGTCTGCGTTTCTCTTCTGTCCGTCCAGTGCATCTGCAATAGAGTCTTGAACGAAGCAGACAAGCGCAACGCGAGTCAGCAGAAATTCCTCTGCTAATTCATCCTTGTCAACAGCAGTTCGCTTCGTGTGCACTGCTAAAAAGAACGTTGTCTTCACCAGTGAGGGTGTCATCGTCCTCACTTTGGCAGTCATAGGAGATGTGAAAAATACCAGCATCATCGTCATCATCATTATCGATATCGATCGCATCTACATTGGCATCCATCACGTCGACACCATTGTCGACGGGTGATAAGCAAGAAACAGATCGGTTTTTGTTGGAGAGAGTCCACCCCTCCCCTAAACTAGAGTCATACTCTAAGAAGGCGGGTAAACGTGAATGGCTTAGACCAGTTGCAAAGAACGGTGCATGCGTTGTCGTCGCATGCACCGAGTTGTTGATGGAAAATTCCGCCATCGGCAGAACTCACTCCAGCTCGTAAACGAGTGGACAAACTTTCGAAGTATATCTTCGAGGACGCGGTTGACGCATTCCGGATGACCATATGTATCTGGATGGTCAGAAGTTGACATCGTCAAACGTGTTGCAATTGAACAAACACGGATTAACAGAACTCGGCTGTGAAGCGGGGGTCCCTATCAGACACGAGTTCGTGGGGTAACCTGTGAAGTCGAAATATACTATCGATGACGACGCGCGCACAGACCTGGGCTGTGATTGACTCCAGTACAGCAACAAGACGTACCATCTTGCTGAACCGATCAACCAACACAAGAATACCAGTATTCTTGTGTGCTTCTTTGAGGAACCCAAAGACGAAGTCCAACGATGCGGACTGCCAGCCCTCTGGGGGAATCGGTTGATGCTGCAAGGGTGCACGGGATGAAAGGCTAGGCTTCACCAGTTGACAAACTTTGCAAGCGCGAATGTATTTTCCACAAACTCATTCCGGCGGGGCCAGTAGAAGTTGCGACTTACCATGAGGTAAGTCTTTTTTCTACCGCGATGCCCACTTGCTGGGGTATCGTAATAATCATACATGATGCGCAAACGCAAATCGTTATGAGCGGGAACGACGACACGAGGTGTATCGCCTATGACTGCTGTTTAGTACAGCAGTCCATCACGAACCATGTAACGTTCGGTTGAAGACTGGTATTGAGACGTCAAGCTTTTCAAAGCTTGACTGCATGGAATATATACATAATCCATCAATCGCAGAAGAGACCCATCTTTCGTGTATGCTTTTCACACGTCGTTGAGCAAATTAGACGACGGAACACTCACTGACAGTGCCGCAATAGTGGAATCACCCGTACTGTTGGGTTGAGCAATCGGCTCAAAATCGAGCCGATGCAAAAGAGCATCAGCAACGACATTTAGTCTTCCTGGTTAAAACTCGACGGAGCGGTTGTTCTCCGCGAAAGAGGACATCTACCTCGATATTCGTTGCAAGGTGTTTGGACTGTTTATTGTCATTTGTAATGATGCATGGTCCGTACAAAGTAAGAACGGCCTACCTTCTAGCAGATAGACGCGAAATTTCGACAGTGCGCGCTTCGTGGCAAGGAGTTCCATGTCATGCACTGAGTGATTACGCTCAGCTGCTTACAGCTGACGCTATTGATAACAGACGACGCAATCACCACCGTCTAAAACGGACTGCATAAGCGCAGCCGATTGCATAATAGATGGCGTCACAGATCACATGGATTTGTCTGTCCTGGTCTGCAATTTTTTTTTTACACATCATTTAGCTTATTTAAAAGCCCGAAAGAGTGCTGACACTCAGCACTCCCTGAACACCTACCCTTTTTCTATAAAAAATGAGAGATACCAACGTCCATCTCGGTGGTGTTGCGTTAGTAGTTGAATGAAACAAGTCAGTAACTTAACCCCAAGCAAATTTACGGACCAGGACGTACTACAAATTTACCCACGATTCAGCCTAAAAATAGTATTTCGCTCAAAGTAAAAATGCATTTCTTGAGGTTTGCGAGCAGTTTTAACTCTCACGTAGGAATAAGAACCTTCTAGACAGATAATATATGTGAACATCCACGTCTGTCTTTCTATTCATAGCCCTTCTATGGATGAAGACATTGTCGAAATAACTCGGCACAAAGTCTCGCAACGATCTTGACAGATTTGTACTTTATCTGCTGAATGTTGCAGAGGCGTCACTCATCCTATACGGTATCACTATCCACTCTCACAGCATACCACCGGGGGTGCTCACTGCTGTTTACGGGATGCCGTTCACGCATGAGAATATGATAAAATCCATCCATCAGATCCATTGACGAAAAGGTGGTACTTTTGCCTTACCATCCATGATGACGTCCTTCCTTAGTACAGGCGTCCGAGCCGGTACCGTTGCAGCCGTTTAATTTGTTGAACGCGTGCACTATCCGCCACCCTTCTGTGGGTTTTCACACACAGAAGGTCGAAGAGCTGTGAGGGGATGTTGGTTACCTCGCGTGACCAGCAGCCTAGCGATCGTCAACAAATTTGTCGATTGCTGTGACCTTTTCACGAGGCAGTGGCCACTGCTTCATGACACAGTACTTCGAACTGGGTTTCAGTTCGATCTCATGCCGATTGCCTTTGTCCTTGGGCAGCTCGCATGGCATGGATTCCGAGGAAACATCTTTAAACTCAACCCAAATCCTCATACAAAGGATTCGTCGTTAGAGACTCCCAATATTGAGACGTGTATCGCTCAATCCGGGTCTTCTTACCAAGGACACTCTCGTCCATCGATGTGCTACTGGAAACCCGTTCGTTCTCAGTAAATACTTGCGCCGACCGAATGTCGGCAACGTACACGTCCTCTGTGACGAGTATGCAGATCCGTTTGATCTTGTCACTACGTAGATTTCGCAAATATTACTTTAGATTCTAGCATTGTCAACTTGATAACCTCCAAATTAAACATCGGGTGTGTATACAGATCAAGTGTATAAGCGCCTACACTCGATCCGTCATTTACCAAATCATTTACTATCTCTGTGTTTTTACGGGAAAACACATCCGCAGGTGGTTGGGGACCAAACACCTCAACATTAATCTCTCGGGAGTTATCACTCTCAGGAACGCTGGAGCTTTCTTCTAATACGTGTACTGTCAGTGGGTGCATTACCACAGTCACGTCCTCTTCGATCGACTCTCTTTCCGTCAATCGGGCTTACTCTACGATCGACTCTCTGATAGCCGATCTCGGTTCAACGTGTTGTTCATCCTGAACAACACTAATGGCTCTTCTCGAATGCATCCTTTTTGGTGTGCATCCGTGTTCTAGTCCACTCGATTTCTTCGAGTGGTGAGCCTTCGGCGCAGCCTGTGTCTCTACACAGGTGCCGGAAGATGGTCCAACAGTGCAGTGACCTTCTACACTGTGATCTTGTGCAATCATTATAGCGATCGTACTACAATTGAGGCCATCGCACTCAATCGCAGTACATCCACATGCTTGTGGACGCTCCACGACGTTCAACAGATGGCCATCCGATGAACAAACGCAGGCATCTTCACGTATCGATGCTGCCAGCCGATTCAAGGCTGGTACTTTTCAAGCCATGGCAGATCAAGGATAACCTCAAATTTGTCATCCAAATCTATTACGATGAAGTCAACATTGTACTGCCTTCCTTCTAGCGTGTAGTGGATTCCCACTACACGTTTGTTCACGCTTACGGATGCGCCTGTAGCAAGGCACACTGTCATCTTCGTTGGAGGGAACTCTCGCTCAACATAGTTGAGCCTACTATCCCCTAGCGACTGACGTCGAATATGACTGTTTGACGCCCCACGGTCAACTAAGGCGCGAAGTGACATTCCACTTCTTACTATAATCTTTAAAGTGATGAGAGACTCCTCATCACTAGGAGCAGTATCACACAGCGACTGTGTGTTATGATCAATCTTCGTCAAGAGTCCTGCAAATTCTCTTGACGTTGCTGGATCACCAGGGTGCTCCGCCCCTACTGACCCTATCGGTTTTTTTACGGTCCGAATTGCTGTTGCGGCTTACCAACATGGTAGGACCCGCGCCTTGGACCTTTCCTTGGCCAACGGCGTTCATCACGTCCTGTCTTTGGACGTGTTGCGGTGTTTGGGACTCTACACTCACTAGCGTAGTGCCCAATCTTCTGGCAGTGATGGCATCTTGCTGTTCGCTTGTGACTCAGAGAGCGTACTCGCTCTTAATATGACAGAGGTCCATTGGTTCGGGGTCTCCTGTTTCCTGTCGTCTCGTAGGACGGTAGTTTGACGAGTTAGCCTGAGACTGTCTCAGGCTGAAGTCATCTTGTTACGCATACGCTCTTGATTTTTCAGCATATGGAAGTCCTCTCGGAACATGTAGGTCTTCACCGACCCATCCACAAGGCCGTAGATGAACACTTTGATGATCGTGTGCTCATCAACATAGTTTTCCGTAACGCTACTCGCAAGGTAGCGCAGGTGCTGTGCGTAAGCGGGCACGTCGCGCTTACCTTGCTTTAGCCTTAAGAGTGCAGAAGGCGCTCTGAATTCGGCTCTTGGCGGCTCAAACGCTTCTTTGAGTAGAGAATTTTAGATCTCCAACGACTCAAACACGTTTGGGTCGTGCAGATTGAGCCCTAAGACACAAGTCTTTGCTCGTCCTATCAAATTTGACAGGGCGAAGGTGACTTGCATCCCGTCACCCTAGATGTGACGGGCTCTGGTGGCATCGTCTAACTTGACGAACCATCTCAAAAGGGAATCTTCATCGAATCCCTTACACCCTGAGATATCAATCTTCAAGGTTTCGGGTCGACGCATGTGCGTCGGTCCGCCCATCGACTGATGAGAACCTTGCTGCTGTAGCAAGGCTATCTTCTGTCATTCGACGAAACGTTCCCCTTGTAGGAACTTTTTGATAGCAGCATGTCGCTGGTCTCTGCTTAGAGACTCCAACATACCACTGATAGCGGGTTCGCCCATGAGCACACTCAACACCCATGCGGCCGACTACCTCTAATTCTGAGTCACTCAGAGGGGAGTAGCCTCCACGTGTGACGTGAAAGCTGTCGTCTTCTACGTCTAACATGTTCATGTTCGACGGACACTAAGTAGTCGTTGGACGGAATACGAAGTGCTACCAGGTGTAACGGGGTACCCTTTGTTTTGGTGCCACGAAACTTCA